GCAATATGGTTCATGGGGTCACGAAGAGTTGGACACGACTTAACGACTAAACAACAACAATTATCTCATCCCCAGTGTGATGGAATGGACTTATGAAGGCCAGGCTCAGGGAGATAGAAGAACTCCAAAGAACTCCAAGAGACAATGCAAATACAGTTCTGTTGCGTTTATTAGCTACAACCTCCAGACAGAAAACCTCCCCAGACTGACCCCTAGTTCCCAAGCCAGCCAGCCACAACACCGGGAACTCCTTAGGGAGGTGCCAGCCTCATCTTCTTGAACTTCCCACGCTCCTGCTGGGGGCTAAGAGCACGCTTATCTCCCTGAGCCTGGCCTTCATAAGTCCATTCCATCACACTCAGTCCCTGAATGAGACAGACTTAAGTCATCTTTAGCTTCCCCAGGGCTGAAGCAGTCTTTCCCCTCTTGTTTTGATACCCTCTGAGAGCAAAATCCAGGCTTATAAAATCCGAAGTCAGATGACTGCAGTGACCTGAAACAAACGATAGGAGGATGAGAGGGACTGGCAGTAGGAACAGCAAATTTCATGTTGAGGCTTCTGTCAACTCAAAGATGAGTGGAGAATATTGTAATCAGAGAAAAATATACTTGTTGGCCATCCTGTAACTAAATGCAAGAATGCCATATTCCACCCACAAGAATTTCCTTGTAATTTTATTCTCTGAATGAATTTCTGAAACTTCTCTTTCATCAAACTTGATGGGATTTTGTAGAAAAAAATGCAGAAAAATTTCTTTACCAGAAATAAGCAGAAGTGCCCTCATTTGTGTCTGGGCCAGCCCCGGCATGGAAAAGGGCTGGCAGAATGAGTTCAAACCAAAAACTAGCTATGTCCAGATGAACAGAGCAGACAAGAAGAAACAGATTTTGAGCCTGGCAGATAGATAGGAAGGGCGGGGGTGGGGGGGTGGGGGGGGGGTGGAATCATTATTTTCATTTAAAGCAGTGTTTCTTAACCATAGTAACTTTAGCTGGCTGGGGAATTCTGAGAGTTGAAGTCCACACATCCTAAAGTTGCTGAAGATGGGAAACACTGACCTAAAACACCTTTCTCCAGTTTTTAACTATCTTTACAACGGTTTATAATTTTCAAAGTAATAATTTGTAAAATTAACAATTGTGATGGTGTCAATCCTTATGACTTCATTGACTAAAAACTGAAAGGGGAGAGCAAGCTCTTTTTCACCCAGGGAAAAACCAGAATAATAACTGTTCATAGGGCAACTGTTTTTCTTTTCCCTTGTCCTAGTAAGCCCAAACTAGTGCCGATTCCCTCTTTTCATAAACATACATTTGATTAGAAAAGAAAATAAGCTTGGACAGGTATTTTTCCTGGTTTGTACTTTTTATGCTTTTTCAGAGAAGTTTCTCTATGATTTCTCCATTAGAGTTCAGAAAGGTTGATCTAATTCCTGTGCAAGCCATGGAAACATTTTCCCATCATCCGTTTCTTAGCAACTACAGCACCTTTCAAACAAAAGTAGAGATATGAATTGTCAGAAAATGGGCAAACAGGGAGAAGATTCAGGGCAAAAAGAGATGAACATCGGACATTTCACATAATTGATCAAGTTTTGTAACTGCATACAGCAAGGAAAGAGATAGGCCAGAATGTTCTCCGTTTTAGCTAGAAATGGTGTAGTCCTTCTCTACTTGAGGACTGTATCAACACATTTCCCCCTTTTTGTGCTACATGTGTTGTTCCCTTCTTTAGGGGTTTTTTAGCTGTTTTTTTCTGTCTCCGTTTGCACTTGGATTAATTAATGGGTGATTAACTTGAGTTAGCTAATGTGTTTCTAAATGTTAGCTAACCTTGTTCCTCAGCAGTTTGCAGTAAATGGCAAATGTTTGTGTCCCGGAACAAATGTTTGCCGAGTGTCTAGACTCGGCTTGACAAATGTGTCCGTAAACTCAAGTGGATTGGTTCACATTCAATGCAAGAGGAAAAACTGCACGAGGGGTTCAAGTAAGGCATTAAGAAGAAATAGAACTCTTGTCCAGTATACAGGCAGCTAAATGCAATTCTGACAAAGCTTTATCAACACTTCCAGCTAACATGCTGCCGTTATTTACTGAAAGTGTGTCATCTAATCTTGCATGTCTCTGAGCATATGTAAAATTCTTTTCCTTCTTCATAACAGTCAAACTGGAATACCTTTCTTAGATTTGAAAAGGTGATTAGGAAAATCAGTTGATCAAATGTCAAACCAGTATTAGAAGGAAGTTATAGTTGCTATAATTCCAGGCAAAAAGTTAATCTTGTTAATAACAGGTGATTTCAAAGAGATTTACCTGCCTAGCTCTAGGAAAGTTTCCATCCCACAACTTTATGGTGTATGATTTATTCTCGGCTGCAATGTATTTTAATTTTTGTATTGTTATAATTGTTTTTACTTTATTTTTAATTTTGTTCACCACCCAGAGTCACTTGTTGAGATGGGTAGCCATACAAATTGAATACCTACATACATACCCATCATGATATTCCCTTTCAGGGAATATGCAAAGCACAAAAAGAGAGTAAAGAATACTAAGCAAAAGAAATTAAAGCATGAGATAAAAGAAAAGAAAAGTAGCCAACTTTAGCTTTCTATTCTTGCAAACCATCCTTACTTCCATTACATCCCTAAATCACTTCATCCATTGCCCTTTTTCTTGAAACATTTTACTTCTCTCTGTTTGGGGTTTCATTAAGCCACCCAACCACAACTGTCTTGGTCCTTCCTCTCAGTTTAGTTACTCTTCTGTCCTATATTTGTTTTGTGATTTGATCCTCATTCATTCTCTCTATGTGACCAAACCAAGTCAGTTTCTTTCCTTCACATTGGTCACTCACTTTTGTGTTCAATCCACCTTCATTCATCAATCATTCTTTCTTGACCTACGACTTCTTGTTTTATTACATATGCATGCCCCTTAACTCATTCCAACTGCATTCAATTTGCTTTTATGTTTTTCCTGACAAACCCAACTTTGATTCTCCTGTAATAAATTAGGCAGAAGCATATTCCTATAGGCAGCCACTTAGGTTTCTATTGACAAACTTTCATTCCCCATAATAGACCACATATTACCCACTACTTTTTAACCAGCAGTTGTATATCTTAAAATTTGTCCATCTGTTCCCCCTTTTTAGTAAATATTCTACCAAGGTATACAGGTTTATGTATTTGCTTTAGTGTTTTGCTATACATGTACGCCTGGCAATAACTCATTCTATTTTCTTTGTCAGAAACTACTACCTTTGTCTTTGATACATTATTTTTCGAATCCATGCTCCTTGTTGCATCATACAATCTATTTACTGTACTGTTTGCTACAAATCATTCATATGTTCAGCCAGCAACACAGCATTGTCTGCATAAAAAGGTGCAGGTACATTCATGTCCCCAACTAGAACATCAGGATAAATGTTCCTTATACATTTATTCAAAAATACATTTAAGAAAATCACAAATCCTTGTCTTTCTCCCTGCTGAATCATCTGTTTATTCTCATGATGCTTTATTGCCATCATATAGTCCTCATTAGTCCCCATATTGCATTCAGCGACTAATATTTATTTATTTATTT